GGAGGGGGGCGGGGGGGGGGAGGGGCAGGAGAAGGAGCGACGGGCCGGTCGCCGTGGGCTTGGTTTTGGCCAATTATGACTCATTTTTGTTGCTGTTTTTATAAAAGTCTAGAATGTCGGTGGGTTGTGTGATGGTAGGTCTTGTACCGAGAACCAGAAGGTGACAGTTCATGACCTGAGGAAAGGGCGGAGAAGTTGTTGGTCTGCTGAGTGTCTTGGCGGATGAACACGTGGGTGGGCATTGCTCATCTGTGTGTTTCCATGAGAGAACGCGAGGAGAGATGAGACTGGTGATCCCGAAACAAGGACCAGTCTGTTCGTGATCACGCCGGGTCGTTGTCGTTTGCCGGTCGAGCAGTGGGAGCGCAGATTGATAGAATACAGTTTCTTCGGGAGGGGGCACGCCAAAAGAAAGAGTCGACGGCCCCTCTTTGTTGTGGGAGGAGAGAGCTAGGCAGATCGATCGCCGCCGGAACGGTTAGTCCGACGGGGGGGGGTGAAGGAGGCGGCGAGAAGGTCGGTGTGTGGAGAAAGGAATGGTGGTGCGATGCTGTAACTGGATAGTAGAGATAGGGATGGTGATAAAAAGAGAAGCGGGCGGGATATTCGTCCTACCGCAGAGGGTCTGTGGACGGCAAGAGAAACAGAGAGTGAGAGAGATGACGTTCGTAGTATCTACACAACAGATGTGTGTATTTTTAGCTCTCAGCGGCCGCTAACGGTGTTTGCTTCCGACCAAGGGGCAGGGATGCAGGCACAGGGCGGCCTGATGTGTTGTTTACGTTATGGTAGACATGGAAGAAGTGCAGTAGCTTCATTTACCGCGTCAGCTTCGTTTACTCGGACATTAAAAAAAATCGTTTGTAATCCTGCCTGTCGCTGGTTGGTGCGCGTGTGAGGGCGCGCACTCCGTGAGCGTGCTTATGCATGGCCTCCTCTGTCGTTCCGTCCGCAATAGTTAACCAATATGCCCTTCTCCGTGGCTCGCTACACAAGACGGTTCGGCTCTTGTAGTTCTCCTGTGGGTTGATTGATGCCAACGAAGAGTAGCGTGGCAACCAACACGACCGTCGTGGCACACACCATCCTTCGTCACACGTTTCGTCGATCTACGTCGAGCATTATTTAGGAAGTTTAAGCTTTTCTACTGTATGCACCACCACCACCCGTCACAAGTCCTTGGGAGGCCACCCAACAGCAAGTCATCAGCAGGTCCCGCAGCTCTCTCGCCATTACCCCCCACGGAGACCTAACCCCACCAACACACGCCAATGACACAGCAGTGACACCGCTAACAAAAGCACGAGAAGAATGGACAACGTACTTCTTGCTCGAGCACAAAAAACACAACCTGCATATTTCCACACGGTTCCCCCTTCCATTTACGAAGCCACAGTATCTTCGTTCAATCACCTCAAGATGAACTACGGCTCCCCCGCCCGGGAGACGGAACGGACGCCAGGCCGTAGCTGGACGTTAGTCAACCGTATTCTACAAAAATATGTCTAAATAGATCCAAGAAATCATAGAAATAATAGCCCGTGCGAGACAACATGCCCCGTTTATTTCTTCCGGCACTCCTGTTGCTCGGAGGGATCAATTCGCGCTTCTCTTCTGAATGGCCCGCTTCCGGTATAACGGCTCTATGTACTTGTACAACAGCCGACCCTGACAGTAGGTCCCAACAAGTACAGCACGTACGCCATGCATGGTGGACAAAAAAAAGCGTCTGACGACCTTCGTCACGTACTTGCCACCCAAGAGCACGGCGTGGCGTTTGCGGAGGAAGTGATTGTTTAATTGCACAACCTTTTGAGATCTCATCTGGGTGTGATGCTTCTTCCACCGGGAGCCATTGTTCATTCCCAGGGCTTCGTGGTGCCACCCTGAATCCGTCTCATTTTTCTCTTTTGCCGTGGGTTTCTCTCGTCTTAAAAAATGTCTAAAACCGGATGATCAAACAATATGCAACAAACGTACACGGATACCAAAAATCTCCAACCAACCGAACACGAACACTGTTGCTGACGTCGTCTTATCAAAACTCTGGATGACAACGGCCGCAAAAAAAATTACCTTCTCCTGGACACTCATCGTCCGAGGATAGAGATGGATTCGCTGTCTGTGAGAAATTAGAAATAAAAAATGAAAAATAAAAACAGTCAATCAGAGAGCAAGCCCAGTGCTTCGCACAGCTCACGCGCGTCCTGGCCCTTGAGCAATGCGCGGTGCCTCTCGAAGAACACGGGACACTCGAGAGAGCCGCACGAGTCGTTCCCGAACAGCTCCGGGGAAGGGTGGCCCGTGCACTGCCGACACACCTCCAGCAGCTGCAGCGCCGCCAGGTCCGACTCGCGCAGCCGAGAAAAGGCGGCGCAGTTCGCGGCGGGATTCCTGGCGCACTTCCAGCAGACGGACCTCGTGCACTGCTCCCCGCACAGCGAGCACCGGTCGCTGATGAAGAAGTTCGTGATCACGCTCGCCTTCCCCTTGCGCTTGCCACCACCGCCGAACGCATCGGGCGGCTTCTTGGCCTTGTGGGATACCCTGGGGGCCGGGCGCGGCATGTCGTTGTACCAGGCGTTGACGTCTACTCCCAGCAGGGCGAGGGTCCTGTCCAGAGCCGGGTTGATGACCTTGGTGATGTAGTATTTCCCGTTCAGGCGGAGGCCGCTGCCCTCGGCGAGGAACTGCTCAGGGGACACCACCTGGGTTCGGTTTTCGATCGGATTCGAGTTTGGTTTGTGCTTGAGAGTTGCTCGGTTGCTTTCAGGTGGGTGGATGGAAATGCTCGTGTTGGACTTGCGCCAGAGGGGCTGTGTCTCAGGTTTTGGGCGTTGATTTGCATGTCTAGCATGATCTGTTGTTGAGGCCGCTTGCTGCCGTCGGATGACGTCCGGCTCGGTTCGAGGACCGTTCTTGATGTGTAGATATTTCTTGGAAGTTTCTTCTGGTTTCTGTCATGGCAAAAACGGCTGGATGTTCCAACCTCCCCTAAACAACCAAAAGACGACACACACGCAGACACACATCTCCCGAGCCAACACCCCTCACTCCCACACACTGAATGCACCTCCGATACAGATCCTCACCAGATCCATAAGCCGAGCTCCTACGGGCCCTGCGACGACCACGTACGGAACGCGCTCGCAGTACTTGGGCTCCGCACGAGGGTCGATCGCCATGGCCTTGCTGGCCACGATAGCGGAAGGAGGCATGTACACGTCGCTTGCGTACGTACCCAGTCGGACCTGACAACCACGGTGGATCGATTAGGTAGCACGTGGTAACGCGTCTGGCAGCACCAAAAAGATGGATGGTAAATTAGCAACAGGCAGCCACTTCAGGTGGTGGCGCCCTAGCATGTCGGGATGTGGGATGGTAGCAATAGGCCGTTGTTGCATGTGGGCGGGAGAGCACGTAAGATAGGATAGGAGGGTGTTTTTCGTTTCAGTAGTATGGTAGCAGCACCAGACAGCAGTAGGAGTGGTGGGGAGGCGACACGCCTAAGAAGCACGGATCATTTTCTCTTTTCAGCTCTATAGCAAATCCCTCTCCGTACTTAAAAAAAATCTCCTCGGTTTCGTTTCGCCACTGCAACCCCAAACCCTCTCCAGCCCCGACCTATGCATACCTCCTTGGCGAAGATGAAGTCTCCCACCGCAGCACGATCAGTGAGGATGCGCGTCCACTGCCGATACAGGTAGCCCTTCACCTGGGGTTAGGGTGAGGGTTTCGGTGAGGGTTATGGTCTGTAGGGTTAGAGCTTGAGGAGGCTGGCACGAAGCAAGCCAGTTGTAAACAATCTGCCGCAAGGGTTCTCAATGGTAGCCACAGCTCTTCACATGCCCGGAACGCTCTCCTCTCTCTAGCTGAGGAACTCCGATCCGGGTCACGAAAGCGCCTATCTCGTAGCCCACCCCTGCAGGGTTAAGGATACGATGAACATTAAGCGCTAATAGGGTGTTGGCGGGGGGGAGGTTTAGGGTTTGTAGCGTCAGTGTGGATCTGAATCCACTGCTGGTACAAGGTTATCTATTCCCGGGGGCAACCGTAAGGGACAAGTGTGATGTGGCAACAGCGGGCGGTTAGGGCTAGGGCCGGGTTAGAGTTCTGGGGTTAAGCACACTACTCTTGTCTTTTCCTTCACCTGGCTGAGGTCCTTGGTCGTGAAGAGCAACCTAAGCACCTTCTCGAGCATCTTAACCAGCAGGGGGCAGCCGTCCCGCCGCACCGTCTCGATGCCCTGCTTGTTCCAAATAGAAATTATCTGGTGTTGTTGGTAATGTGCCTATCGAGTCGAAAAACAGGATAAGGTTGATTCGCATCGAGAACTTGCGCTGGTTCTTCACTCGAGTGCACCGTTCATCGACGTTGACACCTTGAATACTTGGACATTTGTGTCACCCCGGATCGGGGCTCTTCAAGGCCAAAAGGGTAAGTCCTCAAGGTAGTTTGAATATGCGGGCGACGGGCATTTACAAGGCAATGGAAAACTAGCAAGATCACGGTTCGCAGGCCACCCGCCGTAAGGCCAGTCTTGCCTTCGATGTTGGTCCGAGGGGTTTCTGATCCGAGAGGTCCCCTCAGAAAAGCATCCCCAAACAAAAGTAGGAGAACCTCTTCGTACTTTGAAGCACAAAATGCAATGCAGTAGGCACGAACAAATAGGCTGCTGCTACGGCGGCGCATCTGTAAATAGACTGCTGCCACGGCGGCGCATCTGCGGCGGGTGGGTGAAAAATGCATCCAAAATCACGCCGCCATACCACAGTGCGAAAGAATGGAGCTGGTTCAAATTAGTGTGGCGTCGGCGAAAGGCAAGAAGGAAGAGGGGGGGGGGGAGGGGCTGGGGCGTACTCACCTCAGCTTCTTGCTGTATGACTTCTACGCTGTGCGACTTCGTCGCATGCTGATGCGCATGTGGACGCCATATGTTCGGCAGAAGGTAACGCGCATGCAGATAGATGCTGGCACTCATGCCTACACATGCCCCCGCCAAATTACTTTGCTAGTGCTGATGCTCCCTCTTCGGTACCTTGGCGTCGAAGCTCGGCCTTAAGTCCTTCGGGGACTCGTACATGTGCCCCACGTACCGCTTTTTTGAGGCCAAGATGCACGGCAGGTACACCTTCGAGACAATGCGAGGCGGTGGAAAAGGGTACAAGAGAACGAACGTTGAACGGAGGCGAGGGGGGACAGGACGGGAGAGGGGTAGCTTCTTTTGACCCTGACACAACGAAGGAAGGAAAATGTGTCATGGGAGACACTTACTGGCAGACGCGAAGATATCGAGCATCTCGTACGAAAAATCTGTGTTACGTATGACACAAGATAACACACCCCCTGACCCGATTTTTCAAAGCTCGATTACGCCACGACGAAGAGGATGCATGAACGAAACGAAACATTTTCGAAAAGCTCTCGACGAGACGGTTTCAACGCCGCCGTTACCGGCGCTGTGACTGTTCCTGCAGTTGAGAAATCGAGCTTCGAAAATTGGTCAAGGGGGTGTGTTATCTCGTCATATACGGTATGCTCCCGAAGATGAAGGCACAATCAGCGACAACGACGACGACATCGACGACGACAACGACGACGTCACAACAAGAACAAGAACAACAACAACAACAACAACAACAACAACAACAGCGACTGCGAACACAGAAATAGAAACAAGCTCCTGCAGTACACACAGTAAACGGAGAGCACTCCTGCCCATAACATCAGAGTGGACGATTGTTTTAGCAGCAGCGGTCAAACCGCCAAAAATATTAGTACAACGTCCCCCCCACCCCATCCCCCTTGCCCATCCCTCGTGCTGTGACGTGTGCATACCACCATACCCAATGTCCTGGGCCGACGAAACTCGGCACGTGGCTCCGTTCTGGAATGCGAGGTCTACAGTCTATAGTGTCGGCATTTGAACGACCGAATACGAGTGCCCGGAACAAAAAAAAATGCATGTTCCCACGAATTGAGCGGAACCAAAATATTCGTGAAAAAGCTCTCATCAGCAGCGATCGAATGGGCCCACCCACAGCGGGGGGTTGCGGCTGTGAAGAAAGCTATGGCCCCCATTACCATTATTGCTGAAGGCACTTCATCCAAGAATCGCCACATCTCAACAAGTACGGCGTACACGCCGACCACGGCATTAGTATGAGTACACCCAANCCCCCCCCGCAAAGCACCTTCTCGAACTTGAGCACGACGTCCGGGGGGCAAGACTGGGACACCGTGGTGGCCATCTCCTTGCCGATGCGGTGAGCCTCCTCGAGGCTGCGGCCCTTGAGCTCGATGAACAGCGAGTCGGTGTCCCCATACACCACAGACGCCTGCCAGGTCTTGTGGGTGTCCACCTGCAACAACAGTATCGGGGTGGCCGGGGGGGGAGGGGGGGGGGGGGGGGGGGGGTACTCATAGTCGTGCATGTCGTAGTCGTTAGACCATTGACCTCGCATCCCTACAAAGCCGGGACGGAGCACGCCGGGTTCTCACCGGACCAGGCTCTCACATCACCAAGCGCGAAGCGCCGTGAGATATTCGGCGAGTCGCATGAAGGGTGCGCTGCATCCTGCTAAGGGTGTTCGGCATCTTGTGCTTACTTCCTTGCGTACGGATGACCGCTGCGTATGACTTGATTTACTTTCTGGTGCTTTCACTTCCAGAGACAGTTGTAAGCACTGTGTAACTGCCTCGAGGGTGCTTGACCATTTTAACACAACGTCGTGCGATCATCCCCCTTGCGCGGAGTGAGGCTTCTCGACCCCGCACAACGTGATCTACTCGACCACCATTATGGTTACCGCCAAAAAAAAAAACAGAGGTAAAAAAAAAAAAAACGGTAACCTGTTTGCCGAGTTCACGAAGTGAATTAGCTTGTTTTACAACGTCGTTGCCAAGCGACGAAAACCCAATGCCGGTGGCAAACACCGAGGGGGGCGGCTCCTTTTACAACGTTGTTGCCAGGCGACGAAAACCCAACCCCAATGGCAAACACCGGAGGGGGGGGGGGCACGACGAAAAAAACAGAGGGGAAGAAACCGTCACGCCCTTCACCAAAATGTGGAGAGAGAGGAGAGATATGACTGGACCCATTTCCGTGCAGCATAAACTTGTCGGGTCAAACGTGCTTGACGTACAACTAGCCCCCCTCGATCCTCGAGACAAGCGCTTCTATTTAGCACATCCACAAGAGTGGAAATGGTATTGTGGGAATTGTGGTGCATTCCCAGTATTTAGCAGACCCCCGTTCGTTCTCAAAAGCGGAGAGAAAGCTCCGGCGAGACGATGCACGAAACCAAGCCCGTTCTCCACGTTTTTCACCCTTCTGACGGTCAGTCTTGCCTGCCTACCGCTCCTGGAAATACACAAAACAAAAAACAAAAAAACACTCAAGACGCTCACTGTCCTTGCAGCCGCGATTAGCGTCTGCCTCCCGCTCTCCACGATCGCGTCGGCCAGCTCCGCCATGGGCATTCTGCCGCTGAAGCCTGCCGCCGTGTACCTTACGTATCGGTGTTCCATCGTACGACAACGCAGGAAGGCAGGCGGCAGGGAGGGTGGGGAGCGGGGCGGGAGCACGTCACGCCGCGGCAAGAAAAATCTTGTTGCCAAAGGACAACAGTAGCGCACCATACACGCGGAGGTGTGTGGTGCCCGGCTCCACCGAGGGTCGCAAGATTTTCGACCACTCCCAAGGCCTCCTCTTCTCCGCATGCCCCCTCTCTTCTCCGCTTGTCTTGACCAGCAGTATCGTCATCAGAACAGTTCTCGCCTTCGTCCTCATCCATACCACCACGACACAAAACTCTAACATGCCATTAAATGCACCAGTTTCCAGCAACCACAACGGTCCAGTCCGCCATTGATCAACCAAAGTCCTGTCGGACAACTCCAATTATTGCACGATACGATACGCTAAGCCTGGACCGAAAATTTCCGCCAGGAACGGATCGAAAGATAGACTCTACGCAAACCAGACGAGGCGTCATATTTGCACACTACTTAGGCTAATGACCCTTTTCGTACAATTCCCCTACTTCACGGAAGACCCCCATGTTCTCAACCACCACCAAGATACACCTCCATGTCGCCTAAACCGCCGACCGACCCCCCCCCCTCC